ATGTGGGAATCCACAACTTAGCCACCACTGCTGGATTATGTTTTTTTATATTACAACATCATTGTGTCTCTATTCTGTTTTTTATTGTCTTTGCTGTTCAGAAATATTTTATCTTATATAATCAAGTTTCTCTATTTTTGGTGGTTTTGTGTATGCCTCATGGGTCTTATTTAAGAAGTCTTTGCCCACTACAACATGTTGTTGTTCTCCTATATTTTCCTTAGTAGGTTTATAAATTTGGCCATTATATTAAAGGCTTTAATCCATTTTGAGTTAAAAATAACTGGTAAGAGATGATCTAGTTTTACTCAAATGTTGGTGGATATTGAGTTCTCCCAGAACCATTTATTTGAAAACTATCTTTTTTCCCACAGGCTTGATCTGTGACCTTTGTCAAAAATCAGTTGGCTGTATGTTAAGTTTTTTTTTCTGTTTATTCATTTGGCCTGTATGTCTGTGTTTGTGCCAGTACCATGCCATTTTGTTGATTATGGATTTACAATATATTTTGGAGTCATGAAGTAAGATCCTCCAACGTTATTCCTTTTGTACAGTATTGGTCAGATTATATGGGTCTTTTGTGATTATGCATAAATTTTATGATTATTTCTGTGTAGAACATTGTTTTTTGTTTGTTTGTTTGTTTGGTAGGGATTTCAATGAATTTGTAGATGACTGTGGGTGTAGTATTAGCATAGCACCTATATTGATTCTTCAAATTTATTAAAAGGACTGTCTTCCTAGTTTTTGCATATTTTTCAAGTACCTTGTTCAGGTTTTATAATTTTTTTCATAGAGGTCTTTCACTTTCTTGGTGAGATTTCTTCCAAATAGTTTTTGTGGTTATTGTGAATGAGGTTGCCTTCTTCATTTTTTTTTTTTTCAGTTTATTCATGGTGGAGAAAAATGCTACAGATATTTTTAATTACCCAATGCCTTATGTACTTGCTAGAGAAAGTGATAGAGAGATGGAGATTCAGGAAGAGAGAGAAAGCACCCCAAAATGAAGCAAAAAATAGCCACTATGGGCTATAAACCTACCTGGGAACTATCCTCTGGACTAAACTGACATAGCCAGGGTGCTCAGGGGATGCTGCAATCTCTTTCCTCCAGTTTGTCTTCCCATCAGGATTTTGGACACACGCACACATACACACACCCAATATGTTTCCCAAGCCCACAGGGCCATGGACTCCAACCACAGGTGATTATGTGGGATCTGGCTCCTTATACATAGTATTTAAGCCCTGTACTATGGAGGTAGGCTACTGTAGATTTTTGGATGCTGGGTTTT